GTAGAGGACTTGTGTAATTCTATGTGTAAGGAAGGTCCTTCAAGGGACTTGGGGCAGGGGAGAAATAGGATCACCTCAAGATAAAGCTTATTGCCATTTATAACTCCATCACTGAGATTGTTACCTCTTCTTTGCATGGTGTATAGCATTGCTGGATGCAAATAAATAGTTAAATGAATGGCCTGGGGGGAAAAGTCTGGAGATTGTTTTCAGGTTATCGTTATCATTCAGCAAAAGGGCAGATGAAATCCACACTGCAGAGGGGAACGTGAGTGTCTTTGATAGCTGGATTTAGGGAAGTAGAAAAGGAAAGGGGTAAAAAAGGCCGACATTGCTTCTGCTCCACCTGGAGGATAGTGATAGCGGGAACAGGGCACACAGAAGAGGAGTAGATAGCTGGGGCAGAATGGGGATAAGGAAAGGTTGTCAGTTCTGTTTGGGGTTATGTCTCATTTGAAGTGCTGGTAGGTTGTCATGTGAAAAAATACAATTTTCAAGTCCAAAGCATTCACAAGCCAGCTTTTCCTCCAGGGAAAACCATCTTCATATGCCTAATTCCGTCCATGGTTTTATGCAGACTTGTACTAACTTCAGCTTGATATTTTCCTTATATTGCTTTAAAATTGTGGGGACCTACCTCCCTCGGGCAGCACCCTAACCAGAACTAAGGAGGGAGAGAAAGGAAAAATACGTTACAGGAAGTGGTTGCAGGTGAAATGGTCTTAAGATTTTCACACTGTAAAGCTGGGCAAACCTGACCCTCTGTCTTCATTGACTGGGTATGGATGGAGACATACTTTTAAAGGATAGACCCTGTACTTAGAAATCAGGCAGTAGTAGAAAAATCTGCATATACTTGGAATTGAAAACATAAACCACAAATCCAGAAGGGACAGGCTACATTACCTACCACTCTTCTGAGCCTTTTACAGCTAGAATCTTCTCAAGTTTATTAAGTTTTTAGAGCCTTAGTGATTGACAGTCTGGATTAAAAGGGATCCGTTCATCCCCCCACACGCTGTCCTAAGCTCTGTTACTCTGGGAAGTGGACACTCTGAGTTTACTGTCCAGGACACGATCATTCCCTTCCCTTTCTTTCCCCTTCAGGGCTGACATCTCACTCCGCTAGAGTGTAGCCACCCTAAGCTCTCCCTTGCTCCCCTCTCCCCAAGTCTGGAGCTGGATTGAGCCACACGGGCCAGGCGCGCCCCCAACCCCCACGTGGCGGGGGCACGTGTCCGAGGGACAGTTGAAGCAAACACCAACGGTCCCTCTTGTCCAGTAGGCGCGCGCTGGGGCGGGTGGAGCTGGCACTCAAGAGCTGGGAGCGCGAGGCCGGGCCTGTGGGCGCGGGGCGGGACGCAGGGGCCGCGGGGAGCCAGAGCCGGCGGGAGAGCCGGCGGGAGAGCCGGCGGGAGCGCAGAGCCGCGGGCCGCAGGGGCGCGCAAACTGGCCGTTGGAGTTGGGATGAGGAGCTCTGCAGTTTACATTTCTGGAAAAGCAATTGAGTACAGCGAAGTAGAAAAAGCAAGTTGCAAAACGATAAGTATCATCAGATCCCATTTACATGGGAAGAGTCCCAGGGCCAGACTATTTTGTACACGTGTGTACGTAATGTGTGGAGAAAAAGGTCTGATGAAGCTGGGGGGAAGAAGATGCAGGGAGTTTACTTCGTACTTTCATATTTCTGAGCTATTGAACTTATTACTTAGAATGCAAGTGTACTTAGCTAGCTGGAAACAATCTGCCTTGGGGAGGATCGGCTATCGCTCGCTTCCCGTCGTTAGGGACGTGCTCAGTCTTAGCACCAGCAAATTTGAGAGTCCAGGAAATCTTTTCTGCCCTCTTGCTCCCCTCCTCACTGTGCAACTCATCCCCTCCCTTTCCTACCTGAAATCCTTTGAATTGGCTTTGTTGAAGATTATTCCTCACAGCCTTTCTCATCCGAGCCCTTCCTCCCTGCAAAACCCGTCCTCAAAGGGGAGACATTTCGAAGATAGTGAATTACAAGCCCATGAATTTTTGAATTAGACATTGCTCTTAAACCATGTTAGATGAAAATCAAGATAATGTGTTTGTAAGATACTTCTATTTACCCCCAAACCGTTGTACTAAGTGTTTTTATTAGAATGACCGCATGATATTAAAAAAGGTTTTATTTCATTTAGAAATAATTTCAGGTTTAGGAAAAAGTTTTAAAAATAGTACAAAAATTCTTGTATGTCCTGCACCCAGTTTCCTGAAATGTTAACATTTTATATAACTATAGTATAAAATCACAACTAGGAAATTAGTGTTACTACTACTCTATTGGCTAATTTACAGGTATTCAAAATCCACAATTATCCAACCAACCAAAATCTTTTTCTTTTTCTGGTCCAGGAATCAATCCAGAACCTCATAATACATTCAGTTGGCTTGTCTATCCTGTGACAATTTTTTAGTCTTTTTTTTTTTTTTAATGACTGTGACACTTTTGAAGAGTTCTGGCCAATTATTTTGTGGATTGCCCTTCAGTTTGGGTTGGTCTAATATTTTTTCTTTTTTGAGACAGAGTTTCACTTTGTTGCCCTTGGTAGAGTGCTGTGGAGTCATAGCTCACAGCAACCTCAAACTCTTGGGCTTAGGCGATCCTCTTGCCTCAGCCTCCCAAGTTGCTGGGACTACAGGCGCCCACCACAACACCTGGCTTTTTTGTTGCAATTGCCACTGCTGCTTTAGCTGGCTGGGGCCGGGTTTGAGCCCATCACCCTCAGTATATGGGGCCGGCGCCCTACCCACTCAGCCACAGGCGCTGCTCTAATATTTTTTCATTACTAAATTCAGGTTGTGCATTTTGAGCAAAAATGCCATAAAAGTGATGTTGTACCCTGTTGGTGCAGCAGATGAGGAGGCACAGGTCAGTATGTCTCAGATGGTGATATCATCTATGATTACTTAGCAAAGGTGGTGTCTTCTGGGTTTGTCCAATGAAAAGTTGTGATTTGACTTTTTTTGGTTTAATGATGGGGCAAGTACCTTCATCATGTGTACAATAATGTTAGCATTCATAACTCTTGTCTATGACAGTTATTACTCTGCTGTTTGCCAAGTATTGATTTTCTATTTCCATCACTCTGGTGTTAAATCTTAATCTGAATATGTAAATGTACAGTAACTTTTCAAAGGAAGATATTAGTCTAATAATTTTCTACTCTAGAAAAAGGCAGTTGGAAGCCATGCGTAGACAGTCTGTGAAATTAGTGGATAAAACAGTTCTAAATGAATAATTCACTATTCTTAGTGTTTGTAACAACTTGGATTCTGAAAATCCCAGTTTACATGGATTTACCAGCCTGTTAATTAAATTGTTTTTTAAAAGTCTGTGTTAATACAATAGGGGTAAATGTAAAACAGATGTAAAATTAGAACAAAGATAAGATGACTTTCATATTGTTTCTGACATATTGCTAGTTTTAGATGACATTTGCAAAATTGAGCATTTAAATCAGCAATGCATCTGATTGTCATCCAAAGATAGTTCCCTTTATTTGGTCCCAATATTTGTTGAAAGGATTTACTGGAAGTTGCAGTGAGTAATCCTTTGAATGCACTGCAAAGAAAGAATTCGTCAGTGAAAGTTAGAAAACCCAAGAGTTATTTGACTATCAAGCGTTTGGTAAATCTCACTTGAAGATTAAGTTACTGGGTGCAGCATTATTGTTGTACATGGAAAACTGGTCTTAATGCCAATTTCTCTTCCTTTCAGTATAAACCAAAGCAGGAGAGTCCGTTTTAGCTTTTTTTTCTTTAATCTCTGATCCTTTGTATCTATAAACACTTTGCCCAGAAAAATACAGAAACCTACATATTGCACTAGAACAAAATGCAATCCAATGTCAAATGTGGGGGGCGGGGGGGGGAGGGATAAGGAGGGCGGGAAAGGAAGTAGGCTGCCAGACTGTCAGAGGTTTCCCAAGCACAGCTTACCCTCATGCCATATGGCACGGTCTGCCTCTCTTGGCTGCTCAAATGGGCAGCTAAGTCTGCACAGCCCATCTGGTTGTTTGTCACTCGCCTCCAGACTCCTCCCTGAACTCTCAGTATCACCCGTTCCCCTTTATCACTGAGTCCCCTGTCTGCCTAGTTGTCTCGCTGGCTTTTCACTCCATATGAGGGTCCTTCCTTCCACCTCTTTCTCTCACCAACCTTTAGCTTAGGAACGTAGCTTAGAAACTCAAGTGAGAGGACCTGATCACTTTCCAATGGATAACGCAGAAAAGAACTTATTGAATAAATGTCAATGCTTATTCTCATCAGCTTAGAAATCTTGCCACATTTTTCTTTCCTGTTTAAAACGGAGAAAGAATTGATGGCGTCTAAAATCAGTAGCTTACACAAATGGCGATTGATCATTACCAAGTGACAGAAGTCGCAGAGTTATTGCGGCCCTCCCATCCCTTAAAGGCCGGGTGGGGCTGGAGAGAGAGAAGTGGGAGATGAGGAAAGGGATCAGGGCCGTTAAAAGAAAATAAGAGAACGTTTTGTTTCTGAAAATGGAAAGACCCTAAGCTCCCAGAACCCGCTTCTTCGCCCGCCAACCCCTGTGCCTCCTGCCGCCACTGCAGCCCTCGGCGCCGGGCCCAGTCACAGGCCCGCCACTGCTCGCGGCAAAGCTTGGCGCTCCGGTGCGCGCCTCGGCGGCGCAGTGCGGCCCCGGGAGCCGGGAGGCGGAGGCGGGGAAGCCCTCGGCGCTGACGTCACGACGCGCTGCCAATGAAAAGCCGCGGAGGGGGATTCCCGCTCTAGGTGCCGCCCCGCCGGCTTTTTAAACCGGACCCTGGGGAACGCTGTGCAGGAGCGGTGGGAGGAGTCGGGGGGAGATGCAGATAGAGTGTGAAATGTAATTAATAATCCTGGGGGACGAGGCTCTAGGGTTTTGACGATTCCGCATCACGACTGGCTCAGACCTGAGAAGAAAAGCAGAGGCGGTGGAGGAGAGGCCAAAGCCCAGGTAGGAGATGGAGTGGAAACTGGCGCGCCTCTCCCGGCGGAGGATCCGGACCGAGGAAGAGATGGTGTGGGTGAGTCGGGACCCTTTCCTCTGTCAGCCCAGCTCTCTGCCGGGGCTGCTTGCCCCAGGCGCAGACTGTCATACCAGTTTAGGAACTCTGTACCCTCGTCTTAACAATCCTATTTTTGACAATCCTAAACCAGAGATAGACTGCTCTTAATTTCGAGTTGTGTAGTCTAGTTGCTAAAACAAACAACAAACAAGTGAATGTAGTTTGACAAGCACAGGATCTAGAAAAACTCCACACCTGACATTATGTAATCTTCCTAAATAGTCTCTCTCAATATGTTATCTGTGTTTTCAAAGGAGAATATCATGCGGGTGCTCGCCAAAGACATGAGGCAGAAAAGTCAAGGTTCCCCCGAGGTGAGTGTTCAGTGCTTTTCTTGTTCGCTATCTTAACGCTGATGTTGAATATCTTCATTTTTGCTAACAGAGGTATTTGTTGGAAGTGTGGGCTGGTCTGAATATATGAGAATAAAAAAATCAATCTCTGTCACTTCAGTATCTAATTAAATAGGAAATTAAATTTAACTGAAGAGTTTGTACAAATAATGGCACTCCTTTGTAGATGAATGGTGCTTTCTAGTTTTTGCTTCAACAGCAAAAGGTAAAGCTTGGATGTGTCGGGTAGGCAGTGCATTGCTAGCTGGCTGTTGTAATTTCACTTTAACAGTTGCTGGTTGCACTCCCCTCTGTCGCGTTCAGAAGCGTGCCTCCAAAGAAATGGAGATAGTGCCATCTTGTGGACAGCGGGGAGAAAGGACATAACCCCCGGTTTTAGTTTAGCAAATGTAGTACTTTTTCTCCTTGAAAGACCAAACCCAAAAGTCTTTATTTTCTCTTCTAATCAGTATAAGAATAAACACATTTTAATTATTTTTTCTAACAGAAATCATAGATTCTAAATCTGTTATGATCACCATTTACCATGATCCTCTCTTGATTAAATAGTTCATTGTCCTTTAACTTTTACTCACAGGTTTGTTCAAATCCATCACCATTTCTATAGAGTTTTCTGCGTATTCTATAAATTTTTCTTTGTTCAAGTGATGACACTCTAAAGTGAACACATAACTTCACTTTTAGAACTCAATGACTGATGTCATTTATAGTGGGAGAAAACGAATGACATTTTAAGTGCTTTAATTCCTTTAATACTTTAATATTAACTTTCCCAGCCCCAAACATCATTGTCTCATGATCAGTTTAGGTGTTATCTTGATTTCTAGGCATTTTACTGCCTAATATTGACAACTGGTCTTTTGGTCAGTAAACAGAGGCAATTTGAAAAGCTTTAGTTAAGTAATTAAAAAATTTATGTGATTTATGTGAACCAGCTTGATGAAAGTATTTCAAAATGTAGATGAAAACACTACACTGTACCCCATGTTTGCATTAATGTATACAGCTATCATTTAATAAAAAAAAGATAACATGGGTCAAATTATCCTAATATAAATATAAATAAACTAAGATAATTACAAAAAAAATTATGTGTACTATAATAACATATTGTCATTATCCAAGCTTTTAATCTAGAAAACCAAAGTGTAAATATTCTGAGAGGCTCTTTTTAAGTTTTTTTTAAAACTTTCAAGTTTTTGGCTAGATTCAAGAAAATGTTGATTTTATTTCTTATACTTTTGGAGTAAGAAGTTTTGCCTGTACATTTTCCTTAATGTGACTATTAAGATTAAAGTTCTGCCACGGTGCGTCATATTACAAATTTAGTGTGACTGACTTCATGAGGCCTGAAAATCGGCAAGGATCCGAATCAGGTAGGCAGTGTATTGTTAGCTGGCTGCTTTGCATCGAGTCCGCAGCCATAACTACCCTGCCACTTGCTTCTGGATAAATTCTTCTTGTTAATGAAATACACTGGTTACCTGTGTGTGATGGGTTGGCAGTGTATTGTTAGCTGGTTGAATATGTGAATGGCATCAGCTAACATGCAACTGCTATCTTATTGCATATACAATCAACATCAAAGTGTAACTAAATCTGTAATTTGTGTGTGTGTGTTTGCTATGAAGCAGTGCACTGTTTACCATAAGTTATTCTTGATGTTTAGTTTTTCAACTATAAGCTTTTTAATGGTAAAGAAAGTACTACGATTAATTGCCTAAAAATTTTTAAGTAGTATTTTTGGAGTCTTAGGTAGACAGTGGTAAAGTATATGTGAACATTAGCATATACATTTTTAAATATAAGATTTAGAATATAGTGATAATTTAGAGTGGAGAGCCTCAAATTCCCCAAATTTTCAACTAAATGTTTGGGCCACTGGTTTCTTAATGTAGCATTAGAATAGATCTCTATAAGTCATGACCATGCGTATATCCATACCAGCGGAAGGGAGACTTGAGGTAATTTTTCAGATCATTCCATCAACTAAAAAACTTTCACTTGAAATATCAAGAAATTGGGGATTTTTTTTTGGTGGGGGATGGGTTAAATTGTTTGGAAGATTAGTCTCAGTTCTTCACTTCATCTTCTGTAGAATCACAGGCTCATAAAATGTTTGGAAAAGAGCCTGAGTTCTAACTTGTGAAGTGGGAAGAACTGACTCTACAGTGTGATTGAAACATTTTCTCTTTCCTTCGGAGGCCATTGACCTCTGGAGCAGCATCTGCTCTGTTCTGGCTCCCAGGCATGTAGCGTGCTCATGGGGACATCTGCAGCCAGTTATTGGAACTGACTTTGGTGGTCTGGTCCATTAGTTGTTACACTGTTGTTACACTCTAAATGAGATACGAGAAATGGATCACTCTCTCTGCTCTATTAGGTTATAAGTTATTAGTAAAATAATTTTTATGCTTATTTTATTTAAATTTAAACGTATTTCCAGAACATAGGTTAAATAGATACCTGTATTTTGATGCTCATGCATTTTGCTACTTTCCAATCTCATCCTTTTTTGGTTGTTGCCCAGGTATTATTTCATTTTCAGGACCTTTGTGCCTAAGTATACCTTCCATGTAAATATTGTTTTCATCTTTTTTTAAAGGTTAAATTTCAACATGTCATTTTATATAGAGTCACTGACCTGTCAATAAAAATAAAACCTATTAAATTTAGAAGGCTTGGCCCTTGTGTTTTAATTTTTTAAAATCACAGAGCAAGATACAAACATACACATTTGTACTCAATAAGCTGAATAGATATTTAAAGCTGTTCTTTAGTTATATATTATTGAGATGATGAGAAAAGAGGGAAGGAATAGAATGAAATAAAAACAAAGAGATCAATGGGTAAAGGGGAAAATTAAGATATAAATCTAGAAAGAAAATATTCCCATAGAAGGGAGAGGGAAAGAAAGGGATACACACTGGGAAGTCATGGAGCAAGGACAGGGAAGGGATTGAAAAAAAGACAAGGTGATGGTCAGGGCTGTGGCTCACACCTGCAATCTCAGCACTCCTGGAAGCCAAGGTAGGATGATCACTTGAGCCCTGGAGTTCAAGACCAGTCTGGGCAACACAGTGAGACCCCTGTCTCTACAAAAAATAGAAAAATTAGCCAGGTTTAGTGACATGCACCAGCTACTTGGGAGGCTGAGGCCAGAGGATCACATGAATTCACAAGTTTGAGGTTGCAGTGAGCTTTGATAATGCCTGTGCACTCCAGCCCTGGCAACAGAGCAAGAACCTGAAAAAAATAAAATACAGAAAGAGAAGAGAAGGGAGGCTCTGCAGGTTGCAAAGAATCTTCTCTCTTGGGGCAGGTTCACTGGCGCTGGGAATGTAGCTACTTCCCATCACTGCCCTCTGGAATGGCTCCCTAATCCCTGCTCCTTTCTGCTCTCTACTCTCCTCCGCCAAGAGACTGTGCCACTCTGCCAGGTGCAGCCTTACCAGTTCAGCTGCAGAAGAGAAGGGTGGTTAGGAGTGTGATGGATTAGTTTCCAGGAGTAACAGTTCCTGGAACCTTATTTCATGGGAAAGATGAAATCAAGTTGAGAAATATGGACAGAGCGATCCTGTATCAGCTCCACCCAAGCATGTCATTTTTCTTTCGAAGAAACACCATGAATTAACATATTTTGTATTTCTTCTTGAATTTATTCCCTCCTTCATTTCTTCCTTTCATCCATCTATCCATTTTCCTACTTGAGACTTGAGATTATCTGCAGACAATCTAGTTAGGTCACATTAGGCAGAATGCTATTAGCAGCTTTTCATAATTCAGAAACTGCATATACTTCCACATTTTTACATAACCTGTCAGACAATATAATAAAAGGGAAGAATATATGTGCTATGTTTTTGCTCTAGATTTTTTTCTGATTAAGTCTAATTTTTAAGAATTTTGGTGCACTGGAACCAGCTTACATTGCTTTGTGAGTAATAATTATTAAATTTTCTAGAAAACTCGCAGGCTGGTATGTAAACCACTGGAAAACTGAAATCGGCCATATGGGAGCATTTGCATGGACACTGGCGGGTGCTGGACTTCCAGGATTCCTCTTCTAGAGTCTGTTAAAACATTTGCCAGCTACCATTACGTATATGCTACATATCCTATAATTATTAAGAGTTATAAATTTTTATATATGTGCATACTATAGATACACTATAATTATTAAACATTTTCAAAAGTGAAGTACAACTCCTAGGGTATATTTCAGGCAAATTCATGTTTTTCCAATCTCCGGCATTCTCTGTTGTTACACCTGCTATGGATGATCAAGTTAGAGGTATTCTTCCCCACCACCCACCAAAGGAAACTTAAGCAAACCTCGAATCGGTGGATTCACTACCACCATTGACTATCAGGGAATACATCTGATTTTGCCTTCTTTTGTTGTGGACAGTGTCTCCATAACCCTTTTATGTGATGCCTGACATTTTTCAGTTATACTCCAGACTTCAGGCATCCTGTAGCAGTCTATGTCCCAGACTTTTTGATGTAGAGACAAGACTCCAGGAAGATTTAACTTCTCTGCACCACGTGTTTTGTCTGCATTCCTATGAGACAGTTGAGTTAGGGGAAGCAGCACACGAGCAGACGGCCTCACTTCCTTTTTCTGCACACAGAGCCGAAGTGTTATGGAACCCTGAATGGGCACACGAATTTCATTTCTTTCAAGGCAATGTATGTGACCCACTTTCAAATCCCCACCTGCCTGCTCTGCCAGCTCAAAAGGCAAGGGAGGGAGGCAAGCACCAGCTGTTGTATGACTGCAGGTTAAACAAGTCAACCGGGGCTGGAAATACATAAGCGAAGAAGCCCGATTTGTGTGGCTTTGGAGGAAACTAGTGACAGGCAGGATGTCCACGTGTGTCACTTTCACCAGGATGATGCTGGTCCCAGTGCAGCTCCGTTATCATCCACCTGGCAGTGGGGAGTCTTAATTGCCTGTGGGGTGCTGGCACCTGTACTCTGCTCACACCCCTAATGTTGGCACAGAAAAGCACCCCAGCAGTACCATGCACTGGTTAAGGCTTCACAGAGGTTGTAAGTAGGGGCATATGGCAAGAGTGCTCTGGAAGCAACACTTGGAGGGGCTGCCCTGAAAAACATTTTGCCTACAGGCTCAGAATTGCTAATAGGCCTTTGGGCAAAATAGCAAAGGACAGAAGCTTATTAGGTGGCTTCTGTTTCTCTGCCAGCAGTCCAGGTTAATGCTGATTTCTTTCCTGATCGCTTAAAACACCTTGGTGAGTATGTTCATTGACGTTTAGAGTTGGAACAGGCTTTTTGTTCTGTATTAAATTTACAGGTGAGGAATCTGCAGTTAAAGTGGTTAAGTGACTTGCTCAAAGGCCCTCCACTGGTGAGGGGTAGAAGCAGCTTTGCTGACACACTGATCTAGCATTCTTGAGGCTATGCCTGTATCCTCTTGCCTTTGATGGAAACGCCACGTCCACCAAATATCTTACTAAATACATTCATAGTTAGGTGGTTAGATATGTGCTTTGAAGCAGAAGATGCTTTAGGAAATGTTTTTAGTTTCTCGAAGAACTTCGGTCCCAACACTTATATAGGACTATATATGGAGGTAGAATGGCTGAATTGACCATAAAAACATATCACTTTGTCCTTTGGGAGTCAAGTGATAGGCTATTTAAGTCTTCTTTCTTAGCCAAATTTTACATGACCATATTTTCATTATTTTTTTCGACCTGTCTTTCTATTTAAATTTTTTATAAAATGAATATATATTTCATAGAGCAGGAATTAAATGAACCTTCACCAATTTGGCAAATGGCTTTGTTAGTTAATAATTAAAAGGCTGACAAACTATAAAAGTCATGACTTTGAGAGAAAAAGTATATTATGAATCTCCCAAAAGGTTCAGTGATTGCTGATCCACATTTTAGGACTGTGTGATCATAATCAATCTCCTTTTTAAAATTAGAGTTTTTTTTTTTTTTTTGAGACGGGGCCTCAAGCTATCCCCCTGGGTAGAGTGCCATGGCATCACGCTCACAGCAACCTCCAACTCCTGGGCTCAAGCGAGTCTCCTGCCTCAGCCTCCGAAGTAGCTGGGACTACAGGTGCCCGCCACAACACCTGGCCATTTTTTGGTTGCAGCCATCATTGTTGTTTGGTGGACCCGGGCTGGGGATTCGAACCCGCCACCTTAGGTGTATGTGGCTGGCGCCTTAGCCACTTGAGCCACAGGCGCCGAGCCTAAAATTAGAGTTTTGACTGGAGTTGATTTTTACTGTTTTAGCCAGCAGAATATGAAGCATTGAATTCTTTCCAAATCTAGCCTGAATATATATAAGCAACCAAAATCAAGCTGCAAAATGAAGTTAAATGATCATATATGTGTGTTCTTTTTCCTAAACTTGAGATTTTCACTAAAAAATTAAGATGAACTCAACTGTTATCATCCTAATTCTGCAATTTGAGTTGCTTCTAAAGAATAATGGGGAGAGAAATATTGAAAATAATGAAAGCTTTTTCAGATGCTATGATACTTTGTAGATGACTATTTGGTCATATGTAGTAAAACACACTAGGAACTTGTACTTAACTCCAAACTATACACAATACTGCACATAGAACAAATATAAGGAGATTCAAATTTATGTCTAGAAATTTTACATTTTTCCAATATTTATTTTGTGTTTATTACATCAACATGTTCATTTGCAGTTAATTACTGTTAAAATTTCAGTTACACACCATGTTTTTGAATCCAACAGTGGTCTAGTGTGTTTGCTTTTCCACAAGTACAATCCTAGAAAATGTCAAGTTGAACAATATGATACTGAAGCACATTGATCACTGGGTATTCTGAAACTTTTATATATTTCATTTTGATTCTTTGGCTACTCTTTATTTTTCTTTGGGTCACATCTTTACCCTGGGGACATTCATTACTGCTGACCAGCAAGATAACACATAAAAAGTCATCCTTCATTGCCACCGCTGATTGTCAGGGTGTTAAAACGAGATCACACCCTCATGCAGACCTTTCTACTCTAGTGCTATAGAATGGCTCAAGGGCATTTTCATAGATCCTCCTTCTTTTTTATGATCATTTGTCTAACCAGAGCTGCTATGTCAGGCCTGATGGCTTCAATGGGCTCCTCCGGCCTCCAGAACTTCACAACTTGACCCTCAGGGTTGACCAGATATTTCCAAAAATTCCACCTTGGTTCCTTCTTTGAAGAATCTAAAATATCCAGAACATATTTTCATGAGCACAATTTTATGGTTTGTTAAGATTTTTAGTTCTGTTTGTATCTGCATAAGTACTAACTTTAGTATGACCTCACCGTCATAATGTGGAAAACAAAAGAAAATGAAGCAAAGTATCCAAACAAAGCACAATTCAAGGACTGAGTAAGCAGATTTCAATGTATGTGATGACTTCACCCATGAGGCTACTGATGTAGAATGGTGAAATGAAACAATGCCATTTACTTTAGATTTGTTGATCTGAATAATAAAAATTGTACCTGACACCAGCTCAAAAGCTTTCAGTTTCTTAAATTTTTTTTTTTTTTTTGAGACAGAGCCTCAAGCTGTCCCACTGGGTAGAGTGCCGTGGCATCACAGCTCACAGCAACCTCCAACTCCTGGGCTCAAGCGAATCTCCTGCCTCTGCCTCCCGAGTAGCTGGGACCACAGGCACCCGCCACAATGCCCGGCTATTTTTTGGTTGCAGCCGTCATTGTTGTTTGGCGGGCCCAGGCTGGATTTGAACTACCTTAAGTGTATGTGGCTGATGCCTTAGCCACTTGAGCCACAGGTGCTGAGCCTGTTTCTTAAAATTTTTAAAGACAAAATAATGTCCTGAAGGACCTTGGTAATGGAAACATGTGGATTATTTTTCACATTAAATACATCAACATTTTTAGTATTGTTACATATTATATAGCTGCAAATGGTAAGGAATGATTCTAAAGAATCATCTTATTTTGAGAAATTATGATGTCTTTCTGATAAATCTTTATGCAGAAATGATCTTTTCTCTATATCACTCTGGATTTATGTTTGTGTTATTGACTAATATCTGAAAAATATAATTATAACTAAAATCTATTAAGTGCTTATTAGGTGCCTAATAATGTATGTTCAGTGCTTTAAATAGATCCTCTCATTTAATCTTTACAGCAACTCTATGAGATGGGTATTATTTTAATCTCTATTTTGCAGATGGAGAAAGGGAGGCCTAGGCTCAGGTTCACATGGTCAATGAACAGCCAGACTCTCTTACTCTGGAGCTTGCACTCTCAACCTGTAGGCTCTCTTATCCTCCCCATCTAGGTTCAGTGAAACCTTAAATCACAATTACTTGTTAGATTACACAGAGTAAGTGGGGTTTCAGAAGCTTTTTTAGTGATAAAGGGAATAACCTATGAGCTATTGTGCCCAAGTATCTTATCTAGCTGCTATAGTTGAGGGATGATTAGTTCAAGGGCATGTGCCATTATGGCTTTTTTTTCTGCAGTGTCTCCCAAGAACAAAAGGAATAAAGACCTCACTGTGGTTGCTATGGTGCTGGTGTTAGGTATTACATCAGTTTTCCCTAGAAATTAAATGTAACGTTTTTACAAGAGTCTGATTTCACAACTACATGAAATATTATAGACTAGATCATCACTATTTGGTTGGTTGTTGGTTTAGAAGCTTGATTGCCTAAGGTCATGGTTTTGTTAATACTCAAATTATCTATCGTGAAAATATGTCTGAAGATGTTTATCAAAATAAGTTAGGGGAGAGAACATTAGCTCAATGGCATAGAGTAAGCAGTGTATAAGTATTTTTATGATTAACACACTTAATCCTCCAAACAATCTTAGGAGGTGGGTACTTTTGACAGTCTCAGTTTACAAATGCGGAAACAGGCACAGAGAAGTTAAGCGAAGTGCCTGAAGCCACACAGCAAAAGCAATAGTTTGCTTTTGAACCCAGAGAGTCTGAGGCGAAAGCCTATGTTGTCACTGTGCCACACACCTTTCATGCTAACTGACTTGGCCATCATTAAATAGATTTCTGTAGCTAGCTGAATTGTAGAGGCAGCCTATCACTACTGTCTTCTGAAAAAATCTGGTCACAAATTGGTTTGAATTTTAGCAAAAATCTGATAAACTGAGACATTCATCCTTGAAGATGAATTCCCAGTTAAAAAAGGCAATATAAAATTAACCACAAAGAAATGTTTAATAATGCACCTCTATTCACAAGAAATGTGCAGCTTTAATCATGGGGAGGGACGTTACCTAAATGCTAGTTAATGAGATGCCCATAGAGATGTTTTGTGAAAATAGTCATGGCTACACTTTGAGTAACTTCAAGGAGAAAGTCAAAAGGAATAAAATACATTGGAGCTAGAATTCTCCATGTAAGAGACTACAACATTGATTTCAGGGAAGCATAACTTCTAGAAAGTCACAAATGGTGAGATTCAGGCTCTTCTAATAGTTTTATGAAGCTTTCCCAATCCAACATTTCAAATGAAATAGGAAGTTATTTTCTGGGTATATTTGTTGAAAAATAAAAAAAACAATTAAAAAACATTATACTGGCGAGGCAAGGTAGATATTTACCAACAAGAAATCTAAATGCAGGTTCTGCGTCAGATCCTAGGATCTTAATCTTGTGGAAGATGGGGAATGTTACTCCGTAGTTTTTTCTTGCCAAAGATTCTACTTCTTTGCTGGGGCGGGGCTCCGATTCTCCAAACTGATTGCAGGGAAAAGCCAACACGCTGAAGTGCGATGGTCCAAACTCTCTGTGCAGTTCCTTCAGGGCTAAGTAATTTCTGTCTGTGAGCTGGCAGTCACTAGCCACGTTTACGACTAGCGAAACCTCCCGGAAAAAGAAAAAAACCCAACCGGAAAGTGAAGCAAAAGATTGAAAAAAAAAAAAAATCCTGCAAGTCGTTAAAATCTTAAACCATTTGGGGGAAATATAACTTCTGATGGTTATTTTATATTTTCAGATATATTCACTTTTATTGAAAACCATAACCCGGATGCATTTCAAGCAGACCCTGAAACAGTGCTGCCATTAAACAACCCTTAGGTACTCATGCCCCCAAAGTCTGCTTTTAAACAAAAGATAATAGTAAAAGGTACCTTAGGATCACTGGTAGTAGAATGCTTTCAAGGGTTAGATTGTAGAATGTCACCATATTTACATTACCAACTATTTTCTAAGCAATTTAAAGTATGAATTTAGCATAGACGTTAAATCATTTTAAAGAAAACAAGATAATCAGACTATCACAAGTAGATGAACTACCAGAACTTTGATGACTCAAGTGATGTACTAATAACGTTACTTTGAAGACTAAATTATAACGTATGATCCTGTCACAGTGAAAAATTGATTCCCCTAAGAGACTAAGCTGAGACATGGAAAAACAAGGAAAACAAAAAGCGAGAGATAAACTTACTTTGCCTTTAAACTTTTCCAGAGACACGGGCCTTCCTTTTGCATCTTTCACTTCAAAGGTATAAAAGCTGTTGATTTTAGGCTTTAGGAATTTTAGTTGTAAAAGAAACAGCGTTCCTGTGCATAGCACCATCGACAGCAAAACTGCAAGTACCTTTGCTTTGGGCCCGGAACACTTTGATGGGTAAACTGTAAGAGGCTCCATTTTGGATGATTCTGGAGGGAAGTCTCAGCAGGCTGGAATTCAAGGAGGAGCTGAAACTTGAAACCAGCCGAGTTTAGTGGAAAGCCAGGCAGGACAGATTAGCTCCTTTCACTACTAAAACATCGAAAAATCCTTCTCAGAAAGAGAATGGCGTGAAACTCCCGAATGAAATATGACGCTCTACAGAATTGTAATGTATTAGTAATGTAATTAAATTTTTACTAAAATCAGGACATTTTTGGTAGCTAATGCTCCCGGCATAGAAAATATTTTGCCAGAAGATGGTGCTCTTGTAACTTGAAAGCTATGAAGTGCTCACTTCCTTGGTAAGCATCCCATTTAATCACTGAGCAACTGGTTTCGTGTAGAGGGTTGAGTATCATACCCAGGAAAGGTTTCGAATGTAGATTAAATGTAACCTATTAATATGATGTATGACCTGAAGGAATTTAGTATTATATGTGTGGATTAAATATGCTGGATGAGTTCAAGGAATGGTGGTTCTGATGGTGGAATGAGCAGGGAGATATCTGAAAAAGCTATTTACTCTGACTTCATACGGCAATCACATGCCAGGCAAATACAGTAAAAATAAATAGACGTGAATATGATAAAAATAAATAGGCTAAAAACCATGAAGGTGTTAAAAGTCCCTCCTCCATTATAAAGCAAACTATAGTGTTTTTCAAATTTTTGATCATGACTTCAGGTAAGAAATGTACTTTACAACGTAACTGGGTTATACACATGCAACTGAGATGTTTCATGAAATAGCACTTGTCCTTTGAACTATGATGCATTTCATTGCATATTTGTTTATTATTTCAGATTAATATGATGGTACAAACACTTAGGTTACAATATTTGCATTTATTTTTTTTCTTTTGAGACAGGGTCTCACCATGTTACCCTTAGTAGAGTGCTGTGGCATCACAGCTCCTGGCAACCTCAAACTCTTGGGCTTAAGCAATTGTCTGGCTTCAGCCTCCCAAGTAGGCACCCACCACAATGCCCAGCTTTTTTTTTTTTTTTTTTGTGGTTGTCATTGTTGTTTTAGCTGACCCGGGTGGGGTTCACACCTGCCAGCCTTGGTATATGTGGCCAGTGCCCCACCCACTGAGCTCTGGGTGCTGCCAATATTTGCATTTATTAGGTAAAGTTCCTTTTGTAGTTGTGTTCTGCTCTCAGGTGTGCCATATACCCTTACATTGTGCCCATTATATGGGAGCACACCAATGCCCCTCTGTTCCCATATATACCCTTTCAAGCCCCAAACCTACCAAGAAAATGATTTCATTCACCAAGGAGCTGCAACGTGTAGCTGGCAAAATGTTGAACTCTATAACAAAGTAGCAATATGACAGTTAAATATGGTAATTCTAACAAAATCCAAAACAAAAACCCCCAAACCGACCTCATATTCTAACTGCTTTATTTTCATTTATTTATTTTTTTGCAGTTTTTGGCTGGGGCTGGGTTTGAACCCGCCAACTCCAGCCTACGGGACCAGCACCCTACCCTTTTGAGCCACAGGCACGGCCCCTCTAATTAATTAATTTTTTAATCTCTTATTTTTTTCCACTGGCTGTTGCCTGCTACAGGAGGCCTCACTCTGCTGTTGCTCAAGGTCATGAATTTTAGGGATAGGTATGGGAAGGCAGTTGAGGGCCATATCCTCAAATCCATGGTCCCTTTAGTCACTTTGGAATCTGCCCTGTTTAGGACACAAGAAAGTTCTGGATTAAGCTGCTTTGTTGATGGTGTGTTTCCGGAGTGGAGCGGGGACTGAGCGGAGAAGTTTGTGCCCCTCCCATTGCTGCAGATTGTGGAGTTTTGGAAGATGGGCTGGGGGAGCGGGGCTGCCCTGCCTTCTGGTGCCTGCTGTGTGGTGTGTGCATGGGGGAAGTCAAGCCAGCCCACTGCTCAGGCATGTAAAACCTGAGAGAGAAATACTTACTCCCACTGTCCTGACCCAATACAAATAGATGAAACAGAAAAAATGACTGTGCAGAAAAATACCCTTTTATTTTTTATTTTTATTTTTATTTTTATTTTTTTTTGAGACAGAGCCTCAAGCCATCCCCCTGGGTAGAGTGCCATGGCATCATGCTCACAGCAACCTCCAACTCCTGGCTCAAGCGAGTCTCCTGCCTCAGCCTCCCA